CTTGATGAATACTCCTAACTATGTAAGTGTCGTGTATTTTTAAAATCTCTGAAAATCTGATGGAACGTGAAGTTTATTTTTCAATGATCGCTGTTTTTTGCCACTGCCACTGATTAGTTGCGCCCGTTTATATTCACTTTCATTTCAAATAGTTTGTATACAGTCCAATATTTCGAATATATATTTTCAAATCGAAAAAGTTAATCAGTCAATAGATAACGTCAATTGCTATGAATTGAATGAATATGATATGAAGTATAATAGCCGATTGAAAAAGTACTACTGTACTTGCAAATTCCGTTCACTTAAAACCATTCATCAAGAGTTTTGCGAGAAATCCCGACAATTTCCATAATCGTCAATATTCTTTCATGAAAGAAGTCCATGGTAACTCAAAGTGGAGTGGTGTAGTTCATAGATGAAACCCCAAAGTCATCTCCACAACTTTTAAAAGTTGTGGAGATGACTTTGGGTTTTCATCTATGATTCTTTCATGAGTTTCCATGGTAAATAATTTATCAGTTTGTAATATAATTTCACTTGTTATACAGGAAATACGTTTCATGAAATGGTATACAATTGATACGAAATATGGAAAGAAACACTCAATCAATCTCATAAAATATGAATGAATGCTGGTAGCCTCTAATTTTACTTTCGATGAATTATTGAGAAAATCGTTCCAGAAATTGTAGGTTTGTCAGACAAATCATATAGGTACAGACTATAATTTCTCAAAGGAAAATTATTGAATAAAGAAAAATAGTTCTCTCTGGCTCATTTCAGACAGTATCTGTCCCATTTGAATGAATTGTTCAACATTTCAAAGGACAACGCAAGGTCAACACTGCATTTGAAACAGCGTTTTCTCACGATTGCTACATAATCAAAGAAGTATAACAAAGAAAACTTATTTGAATATATTTTATGTTGCCTAGAGATATTAAAAATCACTTGGGTCGAAAGTTTGAATCATCTTTTCTTCAGCAGATCAGATTTTCAGTGATGTTTTTGATAATAGATTATGAACAATGACAATAAAGTGCTGAATATTTTTATCAAGATCATCAAGATAGCTAATCCAAATTTATATGATATCTCATTTTTCGACATTATAATAATTATAATGATCCAAGATATGGCTTATAAATATTAATACTTTTATCTTTCACATGGAAATCAACTTAATTGTATCTGATGGACAAGAAATTATTTTGTTTCCATAAATAAGATAACCGAAAAGTGGTTTTTGATCATTATCAATTGCAGGTGCAAACTTAATTATTTATCAAAAATGTAATGGCTCAAATTATCAAAACGAATTCGGATGCGATATTTGATGGATGACTGTGTGGATGATAATCATAAATAATGATAAGAACAATTTCACTTAAATACTGTCAGTAGGTTAATCCAGGAGGTGAAGCATTCATTTATTTTAGTTTTTTGAGGCTTCTTTCATCTTTTCTACAATTACTAATATGAGACATCTCAATATATTATGTGTGGTAAGGACTAATTAGATGATTTGCCCTAAGATGTCACTGCGTTAAAAATTGTCCTTTCAGAATCCTAAGAGATAAATTCAATCGCTAGTAAGTAATCGTATGAAAAACGATTGAAGAATTGAAAAATTATGCAATTATTCTTTGAACGTAACTCTGTCTCAGTGTTTGTAATGAGGTCAATAAATGAAAAAATAAATGAATAAATAAATAAATATAAAAAGATGTATATCAACCTCAACGTTCATACGTTTAAGGTGGAGTTAAATTACATCACCACTGCTATCAGAAATGATTTACTTGAAGTCCTTGAAGGCGAAAGGGTCGTCAGGTTATCACCGTGTGCATTTTTATTTCTTGAAAACAAGGTTATTTTTTGTCAAACCGGACCTGGATTTCCATTTGGTGGCTCAGTCGATTCGTCAAGTTTGGGAGAATATTTTGTGTACCAAATCTCAAAAAAATATGCTGGTCGATACTAAATAAGTTATGAACTATCAAGAAAGAAATAGGCAACATTTATCAAATATGACCCTGATTCACAATGAACATATCAATGAGAATGAGACATTGAGTTCAGTTCAGGATATATAACATATTGTAGGTACCTATATCCTATGTCATTGATGGTTTTTGTTCAAACTATTTAGTTGGCTTAAGCAGAGCTCATACTGGTTGACATACCAACTTTTCTCCTATGTTTTTTTTTTATCTTCCGGTTTTAGTGGAAATGACATCAACTTTCGATATTCAAATGGATTACCCAGTATTTTATTCCATAATCTGTTAGGGATAATTATAACAAATTCAAGGATACCGGGTTTGATAGTGTTATATCAAACAACAATTCTGAATCATTATCTCTTGGGTGTTCTTTCAATAGGTGATCAGAAAATGTATATTACTTCAAACATATTTGTACCAATTTTCATCATTCGAATATAAAATGTGTCAGATGAAAAAATAAATTAAAAAGGATAAGTAAGCAGTATTTTTATCAAGAGGAAATTTTTGACGACTGGGATTTCTCAATAGCAACAAAGACGAGGGATAATCTACTTAAAATTATTTAAAAAAATACTACCACGAATGTAATTCGGCGTGATTGTTTTTCTAACAATTTCGCGAAATGCCCAGCAAAAACGAACATTTTACAGCCATACACTTCGGTTTTGGGTCATTTTTGTTCCAGCAGACATGTTCGTCAAACAAAACAGCCTACCAACGAACGAAGATCCGAACGTGAAAAAATTATCCCTTAAATTTGCTACTAACAAATTATCAGTATGATTCCAAATGATTGTCTAGAATTGAGAATTGATACTGGTTGAAACAACGAAAACGACACATTCTGACATGTGAAAAAATAATCATAATTGGCGTGTACACCTTAGTAGAACTTTTAACTCAAACATTGTTTATAATGATCCACATAAATAATGATTGACGACATAATTCGATTGAAAAATTAACTGGAATGTTTTATTTTTGGACATAAATAATAGTACCTTCTGAAAACGGACCCTCTTATGACGTAGAAACCTCATCTCGCCATAGTTAAAAGAAAATACCAAACGCCCGACGGAGACTGAGGCAACTGATATATCAATTCTTTCAACTGTGATCTCGCCCTAATTCACTCTGTCAGAAATCATGTATCATTCATCTCTGTCTGGAATAGTCTTGTTTCATTATTAGGGTTTTGACGTCACATCATCGCCTCGTTTTCAGAGGTCCGAAAAATCGGGGATTTCAATAATTTTTTATAAAACGTATGGAGCTCACAGCAAGAAACGGTTGGCGGTGGTGAGCTAGTTTGGGTGAGTTCTATCGAATTATGAAATACATTTTTTTTGTGATATAAGCCCATTCTTCAGTCAAAAAATAATGATGAATCAGGATCACTTAAAACATACCTGAATCAGGATCATTTAATTTGAATCATATCGATTTTCATCATATTGAATACAGCTAGAGTGTACGAAAAATGAAATATATATATATTAAATTGATAATAAAACATCGCATACTTCTTCTTTTATATATTTTTTTAAACACATCTGGATGATAAAAAACGGTAAAGATATGTTGGGAGTAGTCCTCAATACAATAATAATTTGTCATTAATTCTTTCCGAAAATACGCCAGTACCTGCAATACATTTATTCTGATCATGTATTAACAAAAAAAAAATTATTAATTTGTGTGTTTAATGATGATGAAAATGGGTACAGGTATGTTTCAAGTGATCCTGATTCAGAATTCATCATTATTTTTATTGAGTGAAGAATTATTATGGTGAAAAATATTGGTTACTTATCCATTTCAATTTTTTTCACCAGATATATTGAATATTCCAATGCGGAAAATTGATACAGATATGTTTGAAGTAACCCTCAAGAATGATGTGTCATTAGTTCGTCCCAAGAATACCACATTACTACATCTTCTGATCACCTATTAAAAAAAATAATGATTCGTTTTTTCGGACACCCTGTGTTTTATGACGATGAAAATCGGTACACGTATGTTTCAAGTGATCGTGATTCCGAATCCATAATTATTTTTTGTGAAGAAAAAATCCCTCATAGTGCGCTCTGAAATATTGGTCAATAAAGTTGGTCGCCGTTGGCAATGATAACAGTCCAAGAATAAAATAACTCTATTGTTGGATGGACATTTCAAATACCTATCCAACAAAAAATAGTTATTTATACACCAAGGTAGTAAACAATATCATTATTACTCAGGGACCAAGATTATATCCCGAGGCTTCAACCGAGGGGTATAAGGTCCCGTGGTAATATTATACTTTACTACCATGGTGTATATAAATTTTTTTCACCACTAGCAATGCATTTCAATCATTTCAGTCATGTGAAACTGAAATATGAACCTATTGTCACTATGGAAGTACTTCTTTTCAATTCTAATCAAAATCTAGTAGCCATGACTATGACAGCATATGACGATTCGTTATGGACTAGATTCGGGTTAATTATAACAGAGGTGGCTATGTCTATATTGACTAGAGGTTCATAAAATGACGAGAACTACCTAGGTAGTAAAATAGTATATAACACACCGAGGTGGGAAGTGATTCATTCCTGTCGTGAGATTAGTTGGTTAACTGAGATGCAAAGCGTCCAGGTTAGCTATAATTTCGAGACAGGAATAAAACTTCCTACCGAAGTTTGAATACTATTTTATTTACAACCATCATATTTCAATCAAAATTAATAAATCTATGTTTTGTTCTGAACATACCTGCATTATTACATCAGGAAGGGCGGGAAGTAGAGGTGTGTAATGTGACACTTCCCAACCTTCAATGACGTTAGTAATGACAACATTACATATATGGTTGTAAATAAACACACTTTACGCCTCGGGATGGAGTATATAATGATGGATGGTTTTATAGCTAGTGGTGGAAAAAAGTTTTTTATGTAAGTTTATGTCAGTTGACGATAATCACAAACTGGTGACACTCACCTCTGCAGCCTCTTGATGAAATCCGGCTTGGCCGCCTTGTAGTTCTTCACCAGCAAGTTGCAGTACTTCAACAGCCCCCCTCCCCGGATCTCCTCCGGGTGCCTGGTCGAGATGAGCTTCTTCTGCAGGTGGTAGAGGGCCTCCTGGAAGTCCCCGTACACCGACTCCCCTACGACAGTAGGGTAGAAGTTCTCGCTGATGGGCAGCTCGCTGCACCTGTAGCAGAGTTACCTTCTTTAGTACAATTGTATGATTTTCTAGAAGGTACATTTAATGCACACTTATAGCACAGTATAGACCATTACGGAAAATAGTATTTTCAGAGAGCACTTTTCGTGTCCTAAGAATTGCAGAGCGCATGTCCACTCGTGGCTAGAATGCGCAGTAGCTCAGCTAGCAGGGCAGGTGTTTTGTTTACACTTCTTCGATTTATATGCCTTTGAGATTCATTCTACTATGTTGGTGGGTATTTTTTTAAAACATGTTTGCAGCAACATACTTGTGATATATGTGAAGTGAAATCAGTTTTTTTATAATCTAAATAGAACTAGAAATCATCTCCACGACACTTTACTATGTGAACAATGTCACATCAGGGGGAACATGTTTTCGGACATACATATGTCCATCATCAGCCTATAAGAAATTAGTCCTACAAGAGACAAAAATTTTCCTAGTAAACTTTTTTGAAATTCGAACAAATAACACTAATTTCAGCAATATATTTGACATGTAGCGAAAGTCACGTGACTCTGACCGAGTAGGCTATTTTTCATCTTTTTTGGGGCAAAACTCAACGCCCAAGTCGAATTTCAAAATGAATTGGTATCAGAAGTTTTTTCCATATAATGCCGTCTTTATGAATGACACTGTATATGTATAAGTGTTATTGGAGTCCTTGTCTCCAGATCCAGAAGTTCTAGCAGTTCTTCTGATTGTTCCAAGAATAAAATATTGTTTATGTTGGCGAGTAGACGAGGTAGGTTGAAAATTCTCAACAACCTATAAACCATTGCATTGCATTATGATAATATGGATAAAGTCATTAATAAGAATTTTCTTTTGGTACTCGTTTCCTGAATGTTAACAGTAATTTCTTGAAATTCATGATGGAAAAAGAAAAAGTACCTACCACACGAAATTTCTTTAATTTCAATTGATGTCAATAATGCAGCTTTTCTTTTATTTTCATATTCTAGGCTGATTTAGAGTAATGTTTCCATATGTTTTCTTAGGCAAATGACAAACAGCTTTCAAATCCAATATTTTGTTTTTAGTTTTTTGAGGTTATGCTGTCGCTGTCATTCCGAAAGCCAACGAAATTCTTCCTCCATCTCTGTACATCAGTGGAATGGTTTGCAATTTTGGTTGACACAACATTAATGAATGAACGCGTGGTTACGTCAAACTGGTATCCACCAAAGAATATATGAACACAGTTGGTGGATTGATGGAGCCACGGTGAATGAAAGAACGTCCCTAAATTGAAATTCTGAAACGGCAACACTGACCTGTAGAACAGCAGCAGCGAGTCGAGGATGATCTGGAAGGAGTCGACTGAGAACTCGAACTGCCTGCGCATGGTGTCGACGAACTTCAGTTCGACGCATCGCCCTGCAACAAGTTAGGTGGACTTTAATTACTACACTGAGGAAAATTAGGTAACATGTGACTTGATCCATGGCCATTGTATCCGCGCATGATCCTTTTATCCGCGCGACATTATATCCGTGGCCATATATCCGCGTAAAACTATAGTGGATGATGAGGATAGTGTCTTCTGTTTTGCAGATACTGTGGTTGTTTCTGTTAGTAATTCATGGAGGTCAGTTATCGTAAAGGCAGAAATCTCCATATTTCTAAAATGAAGGCTTGGCTAGACTGTAGCCTGCTGCACAAAATATTAACAAAACAGTTAATTAATTTTGCCCTAACCATATTATAAGACTTATTTTAACCAATCAAGATGAAAAAACTGAAATAGGACATAGAGACATGAATTGTATTCTAGAAGGGCAATAAATAAATACTTAGGCTTAAGTTCTGTGAGACATGTATCAGCTAGGAGGCATCTTAGTTTTATTGGCAGAAGGGTATCTAATGCACTATTAATTATCGGAATCTATACATGTCTCTTCACAATGAACAGGGTTTAAATTATGCTACAAGAATCTCTCAATATCAATATAGTCAAAATAATTAATTTCCACTGGTACAAAGTAACTGAGTAATCACTTCCTCATCTCTCATCTGTCCACCTATCGATAGCGACGCCAGCACAGCCGACTTGACCTTGTCGAAGTTGCGCCCGTTTGACAGCTCCACCCCGAAGATGAATCTTTTTGCAATTTTTCGTTCAGTTGCCGATATTAGTAATTTTTTATTTCTGTTTTTATTTGTTCTGGCTAAATTAAGTTTCAATGTGTTCGAAAAGACCCGAATTATTGAATAATTCAAGTGTTAGGAAGGAGACTATCTACCTAAACAAACTAACCAATATGTATTATGTTTTCCTGTAGAAAAAGTTGTCAGTCAATTGGGTTATTGGCGCTATGTCGTAACCCTCTGTTTAGTAACGCACTGTTTTGTTACGCCATGTTTTGTAACGCGCTGTTTTTTGTGGCAGAGCCCCATGGGTACTAAGAAATCACTTCCTAATCTCTCATCTGTCCACTTACCTCTCGAGTTGCCCAGCGATATCAGCGACCACCTGTCCCCGCCCTCGGTATTCTGATTGACCTTGACCATCTTGCTGACATACGCCTCCTTCAAACTACAAGTCGAAATCCGCTTCCTGTTCACCCCCTCGGGCAGCATGTCGTAGAGCGACGCGAGCACGGCCGACTTGACCTTGTCGAAGTTGCGCCCGTTTGACAGCTCCACCCCGAAGATGAGGTCGAGGTCGTTGTACGGCTGCGTGCCAGTGGCCAAAACGTGCGAGGCCGCGCCCCCGTTCAGCCGGATGTCCTTGACCTTGAGGCCGCACGCAGGGTCTGCCTCCAGTTTGGCGCGCACCACCCCGACGAGGTCCCTGAGGCGCACCTGTAGAACATATGATCATTGGGGGTGGATGTATACCTCAGACTAAATAACAATAGATAGTGCACATAAGTTATCTTTTTTTTATGTTCTGGTACCCACGAAAAGGGATATCCTGTAATGTTCAGAGTACATCGTAAGAACCAAGGGAAATAAGGTAGGAATTGGTGTTCTTCTTAAATTTATGGAGGTTATATGCCTCGGGAAACACCCTCCTTGGCAAAGTGTTCAAGAGCCTCGCTGTTCGTTGGATGAACAAGTCTTTGGAAAGAGATGTTCTGCAGGTCTCCAAAGTGACGACGAAGGAATGCGAGGCCTCAACTCGACGGGTAAACCTCGCGGGGACTGCCAAGAGAGGAACAATTGTTGATATTTCAGAAGAGCATCGTCCATGAAAATATCTATTAAATAGAGCCAGATCGCCAACTTTTCTACGGTGTTCTAGAGATGTGAGTGAATTTGTGAGCGAGGCATCACCCACGAGACGAATTGCCCTTTTTTCGACAGAATCCAACAGTTTCAGGGTATGCTTGGGTGTTGCACTCCAAATATGGGAACAGTATTCCAGGACATGTCGGATCTGTGCCTTATAGATCATAAGCAGCTGACTGTAAGTGAAATAGCTCCTGGCCCGAAACAGGAAACCAACATTTTGGGATGCACTTTTAGCAATTGATCTCACGTGATTTTCCCAAGAAAGGTTAATTGTTGCCAAGTCCATATTTATGTTGTCAACATTTCTTCCTCGTTGGTTTCTGATTTGCCTGGCTGGTATTGGAGCCCTGGAAGAGAAGGCGGTATGGAGGGTACTATCATCCGCGAAGCTGAGTACTGGTCATGAAGTTGCTTCCAACAAATCGTTGATATGGAGTAGAAATAGTGTTGGTGCTAGAATTGATCCTTGCGGAACACCAGCATTTATGAAAAGAGAGTCAGATGAAACTCCGTCGACCACTACATGGAGAGACCTGTTTGAGAGAAAACTAGCTAGCAGAGAACATAACTGGGGAGGCAAGCCATAAGATGGAAGCTTGGCGAGGAGTCCGTGGTGCCAGACTCGATCGAATGCCTTGGAGATATCAAGTGCCACGGCTAAGGTTTCACCATATTTTTCAATAGATTGCTGCCATATATGTGAGACGTAAGCGAGCAGGTCACCAGTTAATCTCTGATGACGGAAGCCATATTACCTATCGTTGATAATACCTGAATGTTCCAGGTATTTCATGAGCTCGATGTTGATAGCTTTCTCCATGATCTTTAAAATGATAGATAGCAGTCAGATCGGTCTGTGGTGGTTAGGTAGTGTCTTTTTGCCTTTTTTAGGAACTGGTTGTACTCTTGCAAATTTTCAGTTGGACGGGACTAGCTATATAAATATTATGAAGAGGAAAGGTTGGTTTGTTTGTTTGTTGAAAAGGGGAAAATTATGGTAGGTTCTAGAGCTAGTATGGTGGAAAAACATCTATTCTATTCCATCCTACCTCCAGTGTGGGAAAGTTGCCTCTGCCGTGGATGCTGACCACTTCGTCCATGACCTCGTTGAGGCGGCCGACTTGCTCGAAGCTGAGCACCGCGAGCCGCTGCTGAGCATCGATGTGCTTGGCATCTGGCACGGCGGTGGTGTTGTAGGGGATTGCGGTGGTGTTGTAGGGGGCGGCTGAGGTGTTGTAGGGGGTTGTGACGGCGGTGGAGGGGAGGTATTCGGTGATGGCGAGGTCTTTCATGGCGCCGAGGCCCTCGTCGTCCGAGTCGGAGTCCTCGATGCCGCACTGAAACAGAACAATGAGCTGTAATGTAAACACCAGAACGGGGGGACTGTCAGATGACTTTGTAGGTTATACCGAGTATTCAAGGATGATTGAAAACCACGTGACCGATTATTATGCAACCAGGAATACAGTCGTATCTCTTCAACATGGGTATGTTCATGTTTCTACGAATTCCGCAAAATGTATGCAATGGCGACTGTGAATATCGTAATGAAGTTGAAATATTTGAACATTTTTACGAATTCGGTTGGAATCATAACCACACAGTATGCATAAAATGTGTTGTTATATCAACATTGGGTTATTAGGGAGCGGACAGCAGAGGCCGAAAAAAGACGAGACCAGACACTCTAGAATACAGGTAAGTACACAAAATTATAATTATAAATTCCATCATGTCTTCATTTGATTAAATTTTCTTCGCAGGATGGATTCTCTGGAGGAATTGATTTTAATGTGTCATTTGTATCGTCTCTATAGAGCTAATGATGTATCCAGATGCATAAAAAGAGCTGTATTGTTCGAAGTTTTCTTAAATGCCGGAAAATTTATGGAGATTATTACAGCCTCGTTCGACAAATACGACTGAATGACCTGAATATAGTTATTTTTGTATCTTGAGCGCGAAATGCTACTTTGGTGATCCGAGATCTGATGAATTAATTAGTCGACATTACCAAAGTACTTCGCGCTCGAGTAACAAACATCATCTTTTCTACAAACGTGAAAAAATATAGTTCAAAAGTGAAAATATGCTTAGCTTGATATAAAAAATAGTGTTGAACTGGCTTAAAAGGCCTCCCCCTATCCTCCCTAGGTACACACGATGTTCCACGAACATGATAGGAATTTCCTTTCGTGCGCTCCAAGAGATAAAACAAAGTTATTGTTGGGAATTCGCGCACTGTTTCACTTCGCGCAGTGTTTTGTGCAATGTATCATGGTAACGTAGGAAACTGAAAAAAACTGTCACTTCGCAATTTGTTATCAATGCGCGAACCTTGTAATTTTTTGACGTTCGAAATTTATCAAAAAAATTAATTTTCAGGTATGGTTCTGCTAGCTTGACATGAAGCTAGCAGAGCTGTCATTTTTTTTCGTTATAATTATGAAGGGTAATTAATTCGCGAATATGGAAATAAATTAGTACTAAATTAGTAACAAATTATAGGACTATTGCAAATCTGAAATGTTAAAATGGTTCTGCTAGGTTTCTTGGGGTGATTATTTTGATTTCTACAGGATGTTTTTTTAACGCGGGGCTACATATGGATTACGATTTTGATTTGTCATCATTTCAGCTACACTATTTTCGAAATTATCTTGCGACATTGCCAAGTTTATTAGAATTATTTCAAAGAATTATAATATACGACAATGTTGATTCCAATAACCCTGCTGAACTTCATTTTCAAAATTTTCATCCAAAATTATGCATTTTTATTATCTATAAAGTGATAATTGAGAGTAATCTTATAAGGTGATTTATAATGAATAGCCAATGTTGACTTTTTCGAATGTTCATAACTTTGTTATTTCAAATGAAACACCCAGTATATTCCTGTAAAAAGGCATTCTTATTTACATTCTCATTCTTATGATATTAGTATCGAACATCGAAAATTTGCAATTTTCTTTGGCGAGCCAGACTATTCAAACATTAGTACAAATTATCATAATCAAATTTGTCTGTGCAATGGTTTTGTTATTATTTGTTAGACACACCAACAAGACAAGGGCAATTGCGTAGATATGTACGTTTGGAACCAATTTTCTATGGATTTGTATTATTACCTGTGGAAATCTCACTATGCATAATAAAATGGTTTAGTGTGTGAAGCTAGCAGTGGAAAATATTTTTAGTTCCTGTTCATTGTAGTAAACAACATTTAATGGAAAGATTTCATTCAATGAAGTGACGTCCGTGGTGTATGTATATAGGTACATAACAATTTCAGATAAGTAATACCACAAGTAATGTTAATGCGGTTTTTTGTTTATCCCAGATTAAATACATAACAAGCACCTCACATGCATGAATAATTTTAACAAGTACCTCTCATGAATATTTCTTTCAGTTGAAAAACAATTATTAGGTAAAAATATGTATAGGAATTACTGTCTGATCATTCATGTCATTCCTACTAGAAAATTAATTATACTTTATATATTATTTGTATGAAATGTATCAATGAAGAAGAGAATGTAATGCAATAACTGAAATAAATAAATAAATAAATAAATTTGATCGTTAATAAACTAATGAACAAATACAATATCAAAATGTTGTAGGAGTGAAATGTAAATTTAATCAAACATGAAAAAAATAATGAGGAATATAGTCATTCAGAATGAAGTATCAATGATATCGGTCACCTTTGAAATGGCGATTTTTCTACTATTTCTATTATTATACTACACAGTTACACACAGTCTATCCCACTTCGTTACGTAGATATTGACCTTGACATAAGGTGCATATTAGTATGTGCATATTCATCTTTAATAAGCTCATCCATGGTTTTACCAAAGTATTAAATACTGTCAAAATAATTCGATGTTAATTATGACAATGACTGCAACTACCATGATGTTATTGAATAAATAGAGTTTTAATTACCTACCGATTTAACTAGAACGGTACAAGATATCGATTAAAATAAAGTATACTAGTGTAATGATATTCCCCTTAGAGGGGTTCTAGAAACATCAACAGGAAGGCAAGAGTACAATGATCATCCTGTAACACGCATTTCAGATTGTTCTCCAACCTCACAATGATTCCTACATGCACCAGCATATTTCCGAACACTCAATATATGCCGCGGTGACAAATAACGTGACAGAAGATTCTGGAATGTTCTGGAAACAATCGATGGAACAATTAGAGAGAGAGGTACTGTTCTAAGAAGACTTTAGAACAAAAAGAAGGAGACGGAAGATCATTCGAGAACGTTCTCGAACCAAAGCCTGCCAAGGGATCTCATATATAAACGGCCAGACAACTGCCGTCAGTCAGTCGAGCAGCGAGTGTCACAGAGACAGTTATATACCGTGTGATATAAATCGTTTTACCTAAATAGTAGTTATAAGTTCGATATAAATTAGTGTTTCTTTAGTTCAAAAACATACACAGAAGCAGTAGTGTGAATTTATTTTGCTGTCCGAATATCATTGATACCATGGCAACCACTTGAAAGATAAACATGAAATATGTTTTATATTCAAACTTTCGAGGTCAATTAGTCCGTAACGAAGTGCGAGACATTTTTTTTTATATTATGAAGTATCTACTAACATTATTTTGGCTCACTCTATCAGCCCTATCATCTTTTAGGACATGACTATCCGGACACCCTGTATATGTTATAATATTGATTGCTAATTCTAAACAGATTGTTTCAACTTGTGATCCGCACCTACCCAAGAACTTCATATAATTTTCGCAACGTAAACTTCTTATAAGGCACACCAACATTCACCCCGATTAACTGATTAATTAATTAACATTCAATTTGTTTGGGGATTTGGAACAAACAGCCGACGTGAGACCTTGAATCTGGCGTTGTTTACTGTAACGTTACTAATTATATAACATTATTTTTCATTCCAAAATAGACCGGAATATGGTATGTTCAAGACAAATATTCGAAGGTTGGGAAAGGCAGATCATTATTGATTTGTATACCTATATAATTTGATTTCCGATTTCATCAGTACAGATATCGTTATGCGACTATTATTAATGAAGTCGTATTCTAGGAATTCAAAATTTCATATTTCTCAAACTCTACAAAATATCAGTTTTTGAACAACCTTATTATGGTTTTACTTTTTTATCACTCACTGTTAATGAATTATGACTGATGAACTTCAACTGATGATAAAAAAATACTTGTAACCAAATCGCATTTGAATACTTGGTCTATTTTAGAACTGGTTTGACGAAAATAGCTCTAGTTTGACTTGAATTCATACGAAAAACATGTTCGCAGTGTCAAGTTGGATGGTTCTGATGAAAAAATGACTAAACACTAGAGAATGCTGCATTTCAATGGAAGCTAATTATTATGAACATAATGATGATAAGACAACTTATGAATGTTCTATCCTAGATTATACAAAATAATGTTGAGGTAGGTTTATAGTTGGCTGCTCTTGTTAACTTCAATGTAAGTAAATGTTTTTATGCACTTCAGTGAATTAAACGATACTTTAGATCCCTATTTTCAGAGGAAAAGTCGGTACTTTAACTCCCCCGGAAATAGGGATTTAAAAAGCTAATTTCAGAAATTTTCAATAATTTTATTAGAAATATAAGATGATATGAATGCAACAAAAGTGTAACATATACAGTATATACACCCCAGGACTGAAGTGTTTTTAATTAAATGCCTTGAAAAATTATCACTTCTTGTCTCCGGGATTTAAAATACCACTTTATTATTATTATGTATAACGTACAGGCTGTCCCATTTTGCTTCGTTCTGTAGACTTTAGCCACACCTGTATTTCTCAAAGTGGTTTAATGTTCCACTAACAGATGGTGATATACCTAGAATATCAAGACTAAGAGATTCTAGGGAAATTTCGCGAATCGATTGTCAGCTGATGCAAGAAAGACTGTTTCGACTTGCCATAAGTCTCATCAGTTGCACTGGTCAGCTGACATATTGAAAAGTCCCATCGATGAAAAATCCGTCAAAAAACTAGAAATTTCATGGCTTATACTCATTATATCATATGAGTGTTATATATTTTTAGAAAGCACAAAGCATAACTGTTTCAAATATAAAAAAATATACAGGGTGTTCTATTTAAAAAAACACAACTTTGCGTTATATCTGCATAATCATAGCTTATTCCGAAAGTCTGACTACGCCACTGGATCCTACGTGAAAAAATGTGTAAAAGGCAGTTTTTACTTTCTCGATAAGTCGAAAGATAACTGAGATACGGGGGGTCCAAAATACAACATTTTCAATTTCGCCCTGTATCTCAAAAA